ATACATTCACACACACATATACATACACACACATATACATTCACACATACATACATTCACACACATACATACATATACACACATACACATACACACACACACGTACACACAGACACATACACACACTCACATATACATACACACACATATACATACACACACACATGTAAACACACAGACACACACACACATATACATACACACACATGTACACACAGACACACACACACAGACACATGTACAGACACATGTACACACACATACAGACACATGTACACTCACAAACACAGGCACACACAACCTCTCACGTGCAAACACACACCCACATTTACACAGGGACACATACACTCACCTACACACGTACAGTCACATACACAGAGACACTCTCAGACACATGGACACAAACACAACAATGATGTGATGGTGAGACATGATTCCAACTAATTGTGTTTGCGTAGCCAGGATTTTTACAGTTGGTTGTGGGATGTATCAGGCGCTTATTTCACTTAACGTAGACCACACCCCTGTAATGGTTCCAACTTCTTCCTTCAAAACATGTTTCAATAACTTTGAACTGACTTGGTGAGATGAGATTCATTCACCAAATTGATTTCACAGGTCATCCATTTCCTTTGCATTTACAATGCGTCTCCCTCACGAACCTGAGGCCTACATTTCCCATCGAAACACACAGCCAAGTCATTGTCTCACTTCCTTCCCGCAGTGCTTTACTCATTAAATTTTCTTTGTTACACCACATTGTTGTAAAACTCACCTCTGCAAGGCAATCCCATTGGAATTTTTGTGATTGGCAATTGTGACAATTTTTCATTGTTATCTTGCTTGCTGTGGAACTCATTTAATGAAGCTGCAATTTAACCTGACGTTTCACTATTGGATTTACAACAGGCCTTTTGTGCTTTGTTGGGGTAGAGTACATTATGTGATTAATACAAATATTATGCTATAAGAAATATAATTGCACATATGTGTCAGAGAGAATTAACCCTTGCAATTCCTTTAGTGTGTGCATAAGTAAAATTATCTGAATCTTTACTACTTTTCCTGTTTCAGGCCTATCTCTGAAAGGGTTACCAGGAAATCCTGGAACCTTAGGCCCACCAGGAATGAAGGGTCTTCAAGGAATTCCTGGAAATCTGGGAATGCCCGGTCCAATTGGCATGCAAGGCCATCCAGGCCCAGCGGGCGCCAATGGGATCCCTGGCTTTCCTGGACCTGCTGGTAGGTGATATCAATTGTCTTGTACCGCGCCCCCCCCCCAAGAATCGAACACAATTTTCCTGACTTTCATTTTAACACTAGGTTGCTCATCACTTTTCATCCTTTGGATGTGGAGTATTTATCCAATGCAGAGTAGGCACAGTGTTAGTGGCAGAGGCACAATGGCCTCATGGTATTATCTCTAGACGATTAATCCAGAGACCCAGGCAAAGTTCTGGGGACCCAGATTCAAATCCTGCCACAGCAGATGGTGGAATTTGAATTCAATAAAAATCAAAATATCAGAGTGAATTTTTGACCATGAAACTGTTGTTGATTATTGGAAAAACCCATCCACTTCACTAATGTCCTTTTGGGAAGTAAACTGCCATCCTTACCTGGTTTGGCCTACGTGTGGTTGGTTCTTAACTGCCCCCCTGGTTAATTAGGGATGGGCAGTAAATGCTGGTCTAGTCATCCCGTGAATGAATAAAAATAACTGGTGGAAAATCAGGTGAATTTTATTTATAATGCAAAGTATTCATCATATAGCCTTTCTCCCATTTACAAAGCGTCTAACTGCCTTGTAATTACTCTTTACCTGAGAGAACCCATTACCATCTTGCCAAGTAGTTATTAAAAATAATGAGTGCACATTATGAAGCAATTCCATAATGAAAGCATGTGAAAATTGCATAATTGCTAAATCAGTGGGTTTTATTTTTGTGGTTATTTAACAGAGATTTCCAGCTCATCAGGTCTCAGTGTAGGAATTGTACTGTTCATGTGAAAATCAAAGCTGAACCTCTCTCTAATATAACTTCTGATTGTACCTGTACTGATTATTGGAGCTAAGAAGAAGTTTCTTTCCCTGTGTGTGTTCTCCCTTCCATGGTCCCACTGGCTGTAGATTCTCCAGACCATTGGATGTTTTTAACAAGAGAGTGCCAAGACTGGTCCTGACCTCAAACCCTACACACACGCATGTGCGCGCGCGCACACACACACGCACACTCACTGTCACATGCACACACACTCATTGTCATATATGTACACACTCACATACACACTCACTGTAACACACACTCAGTCTCACACACATGCACACACACACATGCACATTCACATACACACACACTCTCACATACAGACACACACACGTACATACACTCACCCTAATACTCACTCTCTCTCTCACACACACATTCGTACTTGTACTCACACTGACAGTCACAGTGACACACACACCATTAGTTTTCTCATTACAATATTAGAGAAATTTCAGTCTCAGCTTTATTTAAGATGAAATGGGTTCAGACTCAGAATCAGGTAAACGGTGAAATCACTCAACCATCTGAGGGGACGGGTAAGTTATGAAAGAGGTGCTGGCTTGTGACTGTGGGTGGGGGGGGGGTTATAGTCATTACTGAGGAATACCTTACTGGAAAGTGCTCCATAGTGTGTGTGGGTTCATAGACTCACTGTGGATATTGTTTTCATGGATTAGGCAACAAAGGGAGCCAAGGCTTTCAGGGATATCCAGGAGCAACAGGTCCACGTGGATTTCCAGGAATTTCTGGACCACCAGGACAACCAGGGAATGATGGAATAAGAGGCCCTGATGGTGAATTTGGGTTAAAAGGAAGAAAAGGTATCAACCATGGAATTTTTGACATGTACCTTTAAGAATTCAATGTATTTTAACATTTCCTTCAGAGAAACATTGTGAAAAATAGCAACAATTAGTTAATCTTGCAATCAGCATTTCTGTTTTGGTGGTGGATTGGAGCATGAGAGTTATGAATCCATATCTCTCTCTTTCTTTATAAAAACTTCCTTTCTTTCTATGTTCTGCAAAACAGACTATTCTACAACCACACACCAGATGCTGAGTTCTTGAGTTCAATATTTGTAAGAGTATGAATGTGACGTGGTACAATTTCTATGTCTCCATTATCTGCTTTCAGCATGGTCCTTCCAATGGCCCAATGTGAATGAACATGCACCCATTTACGGAATTGTTCACAACTTGGGCTATTTTTCTCAGAGCTTTAAAAGAGCTACCGAAAGGAAAAGTACGAATGAAGTTATTTCCATGAAGACGAAACTTAATTTAAGGATTGTTTGAGCTGAAACTACCGATTGCAAAATCTAAATAAGGAGCATTAAATTAAACTTCATTTTATTGTTTTGCTAACTATTAAACATTGCCTGCTGCAACAAAGGCTCATTAAATGACTAGATATAGGTGCCTATGACATCATTCATACACTGGAGGTCATTCCTTTGATATTCTCTTGGGTAGTGGTTTTACTCTGGTTTATAAACTATCTATGGCTGTGCCAAAAATTACAGCCCTCCTATAATGTAGATTCCAAAATACACTAGCTGTGGCCTAATCAATGTTTTATATAGTTCCAACATCCTCTCCCTGCCCTGTGTATTAATTAACTACCAGGACAGGCTTGTTCGTTCATTTCAGGTGTTCCTGGAGAAATAGTCAATGGAAATGATGGATCAACCAAACTTGTACTTCAAGTTACATGGTGCTTTATGTTTAAAGGGCTTCAGTTATTAGCAGAGCAGTCATGAAATTGTTACTGAATGAAATCAGACTGGACAGAGTCTCCTTACCTGTAATCATTTCTACATTTTAATTGCAGGATACTTTTGATTCTGTGTAAAATGAGGATTGTCACAGTCAATGACAACATGGTATCATTACCTGAAACCAAAAGCCCCTTGAGAAAGTGAATCTTGATCCAAAGAATCTGTTCCTTTTCATCAATGTTTTCCACCCATTAAGTTTCTGCAGAATTGCCTGTCTTGACTGTTCGAGTTGTGTATGAACGTGTGCGTTTTGGATTTAAAGAGGTTATAGTTTAGGTTTATTTGTTAGGACTCAATAATATGTAATGCCACTAGTTAAGGGCTAAATTTGTTAATAATACATACTTTTTTTGTTGTTTGATACCTTTAGTTTTAGATACTGGTCAAATTCAGACAAAAAATTACCATCCTAAGGAATAAATTGGTCACTTATATATTTGCGACAGCTGTGAGAATAGTGAGGGTTGGTTTCCAATGTGCTCTTCCCATTAGGATCATAACACTTGCTTTGGTTGTTTGGTGTTAATTTGGCTACTGTGATTTTTGACTTCCGTTAGTTCTTTTGATAAGGCAACATCTCGTTCTCCCGATCTATTTTAAAAAATATAATTGTAAGATGAACATCTAAGGGACTGCAGTCATTTATTGGGAGTTCAATCTGGTTATGTTAATGTGCTGCAGACAAATTATGGGACAAAGAGGAAATTTCAACTCCTTTTGTTTCAGGAGAAAGAGGGGACCCAGGGGAAGATTCTCTGCCTAGAATCATTTATGAAAAAGGCACTTCAGGAGTCTCAGGTGCTCCTGGTGACAGTGGAATAACAGGCCCGAGAGGTAAGGAACATGCAATTTAACGCACTTTCGTATGTCTTAGAATTTGGTTAAAGGATTGTTTTGTTAGTGATTAATGACTTGTTGAAATAAACGTTTCATGCTTTCACCTCTGGAATGAATTTGAACGTACCAAAATAAGATAATGAAAGTCATTCCTCAAAGAGTAACTCATTTGGGTGAAATGTTAATTTACTGCCTGGTAATGACAAAGAACAAAGAGCAGTATATCACAGGAACAGGCCCTTCAGCCCACCAAGATTACGCCAACACATGATGCCTTTCTAAACTAAAAACCTTTTGTTTCCACATGGTCCAGAAACCCATCTATTCTCTGCCTATTCGTGTATCTGTCAAGATGCCTCTTGAATGTTGCTATTGTATCCACCTCCACCAGTTCGAGGCACTTACCACCCCCTGTGTAAAAAACTTGCCTCTCACATCTCCTTTAAACTTACTCCCTTTTACCTTAAATCTATGTACCCTAGTAATTGATGTTCTACTGTGGAAAAAAGACACTGACTGTCCATTCTGTCCAGGCGTCTTGTAATTTTGTAAACTTCTTTCAGGTCGCCCCTCATCCCTTGAGGTTCAAACGGAAACAAACCAGTTTGTCCAATATTTCCTCGTAGCTAATACCCTCCAAACTAGGCAACATCCTGGTAAATCGTTTCTGTACCCTCTCCAAAGCCTCCACATCCTTCCAATAGTGTGGCAACCAGAACTATGCACAGTATTCCAAATGTGGCCTAAGTAAAGTTCTATTCATGTATTTGCTGATATTCAGCAGAAACCTGTACAGAATTGCTTCAAACATGAAAACATAGAAAAATCAGAGCAGGAATAGGCCCTTCAGCCCTTTGAGCCTGTGCTGCTGTTCATTATGATTATGGCCGATCATCCAACTCTATCCTGCTTTCTCTACCCTTTGATCACTTTAGCTCTAAGAGTGATATGTAACTCTTGAAAACATTCAATGTTTAGGCCTCAACCACATTTTGTAGCAGAGAATTCCACAGACTCCCCACTCTCTGGATGAAGCAATTTCTCCTCTTCTCAGTCCTGAATGGACAACCCCATATCCTTAAACTGTGACATCTGGTTTGATGTCGGAAATGTAAAAGCTAACACTAGTGCCATAAGAGGCAGGGCTGAGATTTAATGCACTCTGTAGAGATAAGAGCATTAATTAATAACTGAACACGTAGCTCCCAATTTATTGTGAAACACAGTAATAATTTCCCAGCTGTTTTCTCCTTGTAACCTATCTCTATAGTGGCTGTGAGAATATTGTTTTGGCTCCTTAACTTGATATTTAGTTGTGTTGTTTCATATTACACTGACTGTGAATTGTAACAACTGCTTCAGGTGAAAAAGGGTTGCCTGGGAACTCAGGACTCCCCGGATTGCCTGGCAGGATTGGTTTTCCAGGCTCCGAGAAAGGTTTTCTTGGGATAAGGGGACCATCGGGTCTTCCTGGACAGCAAGGGGCAATGGGACAAAAAGGTGAAAGAGGCATTGTTGGTTTTCCAGGAATGAGGGGGGAGAAGGTAAGCATGTAAAAATCACCAACAACTTCATGAGTTATTTGTTAACACATCAGAAACAGTGCCCTGTACCACAAACAGTTCAATCGAATATTAAGTTGTGGTTTATTTACTTCTAGGGTGACAGAGGACAATCAGGGTCACCTGGACTTGAAGGTACACCTGGTTGTAAAGGAGAAAAAGGTATTACTTTCAATAAGATATGAATACATTGGTGGGCTCTTGCTCAAACCATTAATTATAATTTCTACTCAAGTGGCCAACTTTTATTCTGAACTGTGGGAGAAGGTATTGGAGTGGTCAGATTGGAGGGAGGATGGTTTGGGAGGTCCACCACTCCTTTTTAACTGAACTCGCCTGGTTTTTACCAGCTGGCCTGGTTTAAATCAAGGCCTATATTGCTGAAAAAGAAGCATTCAATTCTCTACAACTAACATTTGTCAGGTTGACAAGCTTAAAATAAATTATATCAGAATTTCAGGAGGAAGAAACGGAGTGTGGGAGAGTGGAAAGTTGGTAATAGGTGCTTTCTAATAGATTGTGAACTGAGAGGCAAAGGTACACTTTTCTCCACCCCAGATAAACATGTCTCTCAAATGATGGGTTCACGTTATAAAATGCTAAGAATTTAAGCAAAGTAGGCCATTCAGCCCATCAGGCCTGCTCCATTTATTCAAAAAGCTCATGGCTGATCTGTTTGTGGCCTTGTCTCCGCTTTCCTGTTGATTTCCCATAACCCCTTACTTGAAACAAAAATCTGTGGACCTCAGCCTTGAATATATCCAATGGCCCAGACTCCTCCACTTTCTGGGGAAGTGAATTCCGCAAACAATGATGAAGAGTAGAAATTTCCTCTCACCTTCATCTTCTAATGGACCCCCCCACTTTATTTTTAAACTATATTCTAGATTGCCCAATAAAATAAAGCGTCCTCTTACCATCTACCATGTTAACCCTTCCTGAATCCTAAATGATTTAATAAGATCATTTCTTATTTATACTGTAGTGATTGTAACGAGGTCAGCCAGGTGGACCTCATAGAACATGAGTTTCCTGATTAGAGCTGTTAATCTGTTCTAATCAGGGAGCCCTGACTGACAGATATAAACATGAGTGTCAGAAGCTCTGTCACTCTGAGAGCTGGCTCTGAGGGAGCTAGATTAATGTCACAGACTCTCCGCGTGTAAGTAAAGGGAGACTCCATGAAGGGATACCAGCCTCTGTGGCGTTATTTCACATACAACATCCAATGAGTTCAGATCCAACCTGCTCAACTTTTCCTCATAAGACAAAGCCCTCATCTGAGGTTTTAGCTGAATAAATCCCTGAACTGTTTCCAAGGCAAGAGTTGTACATCCTTAAATCGAGAGACTAAATCTGTAGGCAGTACAGGTGTGATCTCAGGTCCTGCACATTCCAGCTGGTAGGAGTATTCCCTGACATCTTTAACTTCTCCTTGCTACAATCTGAAGCGCCCACCTGCTTCAAGAAGACCACCATCATCCCGGTGCCAAAGAAAACACACGCAGCGTGCCCCAGTGACTTACCGCTCTGTGGTGCTGACCTCCATAATGATGAAGTGCTTCGAGAGGTTAGTCATGGCTCACATCAACTCCGGCCTCGTCGCCTGCCTTGATCCCTTGCAATTCACCTACCATAGCAACAGGTCCATGGCCCAACACTTGCCCCTGGAATATCTGGATAACAAGGATACTGATGTTAGACTTCTGTTTAATGACTGCAGCTGCACATGCAACAGCATAATTCCAACCAAATTCATCTCCAAACTGCAAGACATAGGTCTGTTCTCTGCAACTGGATCCTCCACTTCCTGACCCACAGACCGCAATCAGTAAGGATAAGCAACACCTCCTGCACCATAATCCTCAACACCAGCGCCCCACAAGGCTGTGTACTCAGCCCCTCACTATGCTCCCTGTACACTCATAACTGTGTGGGCAAATTTCATCCTTAGTCCATCTACAAGTTCGCTGATGACACCACCATTGTAGGCCGGATCTCAAACAATGACGATATAGAATACAGGAACGAGATAGAGTGCATGGTGGCATGGTATAAAGGTAGCAATCTCTTTCTCAACGTCAGCAAAATGAAAGAGCTGGTCATTGGCTTCAGGAAACAAGGTGGAGGGCACACCTCTTTCTGAATCAATGGAACTGAGGTGGAGGCAGTTGACAGCATTCCTAGGTGTGATGATTACTAACAATCTATCCTGGAGCACCCATGTTGATACGACGGTCAAGCAGGCACAACAACACCTTTACTGTTGAGGTTGGTTGGCTGGCCGAGCTGGTTTCTTGTTTCACAGATGTTTCGTTACCATGCTGGGTAACATCCTCAGTGCAGCCTCCGATGAAGCGTCGGTGTGTTTTCCCGCCGGGTTTTTAAACTCTGGGGTCCGTTGCGATGGATTGCCTCACTTCCGGTTTTCCTTCGTAGTGGAATGTATATGGGGTCGAGTTCAATGTGTTTATTAATAGAAT